AAGGTGTTATACTTTTGACCACTAGAGGCGCTAGTAAATATTGTATATAACGTGTTCATATTATATTTCTACTAAATTCTACATGTAAATGAAATAAACTTTAAATTCTTTAATAGGTCTTATTTATTCTCCTGTAAAATACAGGTTACAACACATACTCAGTTGCATTAATCATATATAAAACATGACTATTAAATACGTAACTTTTTAAAATCTTTTTTTGTTGATTTGAAGATTGACGCGCAAACTTACTCTTTGATGTTGTACTGTCTTCTGAAGAAACTATATATGTACACATAAATGAAAATTCGTTACGTAAAGGCATATCTGTGGTAAATGTTCCTTTTTTATTGGAAACTAAAATATTACTGCAAAGAAGAAAGAACGTCTGTTGCAATTGATATTAAAATAAAATAATAAAAATAATAATGAATGTTTTGAAACCTGAGTTAATTTGGGTAGAGGATCGATGTTATAGATTATTAGGAAATACCGAATCGTTAGATTCTCGCAATATTTCTCCTTACGTCGAAGACTCTTATCAATTAGACTATAAAGATTGCGAAGTAGAAAGTTATGATGCTGATATAGAAATTGTACCATATAAAGGAACACAATTTAAACATACATTTCATGTGGCAAAGTAAAAATTGTTTTTGAAAAATATTAGATAATAATTGAAGCGTGTAATGATATTAACAATAACTACAATATTTTAGATCATTTTTTCCATTTATTGCTGGAGCTAAACATGCAGTACGGAAGAGATTAGAAACTGAAACTAAAACATTTATACAAATTCCAAAATTAGGTCAGGATGGGGATATTGGTAACTATATCTTAAATTTTATTGAATAACAATTCAAATATAAAGTTTTATTTCATTATAAATGAATTTCACTAATACAATTGTATATCTGTACATTTACAGTAATACTTGGTACTGATCACAAAGGGATAGTGACAGCACGTCATAGAATAAATTTATTAATGGAGGCAACCAGAAAAAAATTGCACCCTACACATTTCTTATCAATACCCTTAAATAAACCTGAAATAATAAAGGAATTTAATTTATTTAAGACAACTGTACTTAATAATTCAAAAAAAGCATCTAGAGGTGTGGATGAAACAATTTTTCAAATGCCAACCAAATTGCACCTTACTATTGGGATGTTAAAATTACTTGATGATACAGAAAGAAATCAAGCTATTGAAGCTTTAAATTATTGTAAAGAATATATTGTAAAGTATGAAAAATTTCATAATATTAGGAATACTTCCTGTTGTTATATAATTCATTAAAGTTATATTATGAGTATTTTTTTCATACTGGATTACAGGCCAATAATTAAAAAATATGGAAGAATCCATATACAGATACAAGGAACTGATATAATGAATGATGATCCTACTGAAGTAAGGGTCCTATATGCAAAAATAATTGATAAAAGTGAGGTTTTGCAAAAACTTTCAGATGAAATTGTAAATTATTATGCCAGTATAGGTAAGAATAATATATAATACTATTTAGTAGTAGAATATAATCACATAGCAAGATTTCTAATAGTTGAAGTAGTACTAAGTATATTCATAATTTAACAATTATTGTATTGTTAAGGCCTATTGTACAAAATGAATGACAGAGTTAAACTACATGTAACATTTATGAATACAAGATTTAATTTAGATGAGGAAAGAGAGCATAATAAAGCTCCTAAGACATTTGATGCAACAGAAATAATGAAAGTAAATATATTTAACTATTTAATTATAAAATATAAGAATGTTGTAACAAAAATACAAAAATTTTAGGCTCATGAAAACACTGTATTTGGAGAAATGACATTAACCGATATTCACATATCACAACGTCATACACTTGGTAGTGATGGATACTATCAAGCAACAGCAAAAATTAATCTGTATTAATTAAAATTAATACATACCATTACATAAACTTATAAGACTTTTGAGGCTTTTACAGCCTGATATGTTACAGTTTATAAGAAGAATTTCAACAGTTTGAAAAATATACTGGGTTATACCTAATACTGAAAGCTAAATTATTTTCAAAACTGTTAATTATAAAAAATTCGAAAGTTCGAAAAAGGCTTCAAACAAAAGTTGAATGGTTTCAAGAAGAGCATTCTTTGATATGACTAGCATTTTTGTAAGTAAACGTGTAAAGAACATATGAAGGTCAAGTTTGTTTTTTTAAATGGAATCGTATATTTTTTAATACATCAATCAATTCAGTTAATCATTCTCTATAAAAAAGTGTTAAGCTTAAAACCATTAAAACCATTACTTTAGGAGATATTTTAATTAAAACATTACAGAATGGAACTCTTGTAACTCAACGTACATATATGTGCATAGAATGTTGGAATTCCGGAAGATTAAGCAAAATTTTAAGTGAGAACTGTATATATTAAAATAAAAAACCAGTTTATATAAATGTATGTCAAAAAAATTTTATTTTTTGAATTGCACCCAAAAACTAAGCACACATATCTACATAAAATAAGTTAGTAATAAGTGTTTAAACAGTTTTTATAATTATGAGTATTTGATGAGTACTGATGAGTACTTAAAAATATCAAGGTGACCTTCAAAACTTTGTACAAACAATGTAGAAAACGAAATTATTCTAACATATGTCCCCCTTAAAATCATGCAACTTTTGTTTCATACACTTCTTCGTATAACTAATAGTTTACGAATAATTTCAAGATGTTAATTAAGTGAATCACTCTGTATATATTATGCAGTATTATGCGGAAGTATTCTTCTGTTTAACTAAATGGTAAAGAAATTATTACATATAATAAATGTGTTAATCAGTTATAAAAATTCATCAAATATATAAAATTATTTTACCATTGATCTAAAAAAACTTATTCTTTAATTTATAATTCTTTGTTATAATATTAATTCTCAATTTAATTAAAACATTATCATAAAATTATTAAAATATAATTTTGCAGTTAGATTTTTTAAAACTACGATTTATTATTCTGCAGATTCTTTAAACATAAT